TCCTGAACAAACTTGCGCTCTATAAATTTTAAAGCTAAAATTGTTGAAATTTTGTCCATTTTGTCCTCTTTCTGAAAAAGGATATAAAATCGGACTAGTTTTTGACGTCATAAAAACAAAAATTGTGAATACACTGCTTTGACCTCATAATATTTTCTGTTAATTTATATTTCTCATACAATTTATTGAATTCAGCACATTTCAGGAAGTTTTCAAAATTTGACTTTTGTGGGGGCAAATATATGCAATATACCGCATATAGTTCTTTGATCTTATTTGGGCAAACATAAAAAAAGTTATCAGGAAAAAACAGAAAATTTGTGGACGGAAGAATGACAGACGGACAGACGGACAGACAGAGTGATTACTATAGGGCACCCACAAATCCTTGTGGGGCCCTAATTACTGTACACAGGTTAAGATGGCCTAGAACACTGTCCAGTCAGAGCAAATCCTACTAAAGGATCAACTAAAGGGTGGTTTTTGTATATGTGATCACGATAGCTCAGCTTTGACTGTCACAGAACAAATTTTACATAATGTAGGAACTATTTTACATGTGACCAAGAAACTTCATATAAGTTTCATCTTTCCTGGCCCAGTGGTTCTTAAAAAGAAAATTTTTAAAGATTTATACATTCCTATGTAAAACTTCAATCTGCCATTTTGGCCCCACCCTAGCCCCGGGGGTCATGCTTTTAACAAACTTGAATCTACACTACCTGATGATGATTCCACATGAGTTTCATCTTTCCTGGCTGAGTGATTCTTGAAGAAGATTTTTAAAGATTTTTCCTATATACTCCTATGTAAGGAACTATTTTACATTTGACCAAGAAACTTCATATAAGACATAGCTCCTATAAAAATTGATCAGTGTAGCCTCCTGATACTTCTTTGTGTGCTAACTTTGGTGAAATTCTTGGTCAGCATCAAATATGCAAAAATATTTCATAAACAAATGCGCACTTTTAAACCCTTAAACAACAAAATAGGCTAAGACCCTTTTTGGCTACTGGTTTGGCTTGTTGATTAGAATAATACAAGAAGTTGACCAGTCAACCTGTTTGACCCCTGCCACAAAAAGAGTATTGGCTCTTAGTTATAGGATTCACAAGAGTAAAAAAAATATATCAATTTCCAAATTTTCTCATTTTTGTGCAAATTTTCATCAATTTTATAGCACATTTCGTTCTTTAAAAACATAGAACAAACTTTTTAACTAGAACTGTCCAAACGGGACAAAATACCCCCCGCTGGGTTTTTCAGAAGTAAGAAATGTTTCAAACAGGAATTATGAAATTTTTCTTCCAGTGACCTTAAACTTCCCCAAATGACCTTGGGTCAAGGTCATGACACACCCTTGGGTCATGGGCAATCTTTGTGTGAAATGAGAACCTACCAAGTTTATCCATAAGAAAGATATGGACCAGACACGAATTATGAAATTTTTCTTCCAGTGACCTTGAACTTCCCCTAAAGACCTTGGGTTAAGGTCATGACATACCCTTGGGTCATGGATCTTTGTGTGAAATGAGAACCTACCAAGTTTATCCATAAGAAAGATATGGACCGGACACGAATTATGAAATTTTTCTTCCAGTGACCTTGAAGTTGCCCAAATGACCTTGGGTAAAGGTCATGACACACCCTTAAGTCGTTGGCAATCTTTGTGTGGAGTAGTAGATTCTAATGTTTCTCTGTAAGAAAGATATGGACCGGGATACGATTGCACAGACGGACGGACAGACGGACGGACAGCTAGACGGACAGACAGACAGATAGACAGACGGACAAGGTGATTCCTATATACCCCTCCAAACTTCGTTTCCGGGGGGTATAACAAAAAACTATCACAGTTTTAAATCTGTGTTCTGATTTTTAAACCAAAGAAGGGGCCAGATTCCACCATTACCATACCTTGTCCTTTCACAACTTAATACTGACATTTTTTTCCTGATACATGTAATTTTTCATTCAAATTAATCATAGCCAAACTATACATCCTTCCAAGAATTGTGAAATGACACACACTTTACTTTACAATTATGCACTAGAATCTGTGATGTTAATCAGAGGTGAAGCCTTGCATACTGACCTGAAAACTTGTGAGGCCCAGACACATGTGACTTGTTATACATCTGGGCCACTGCAGGACATGTTGTGTCCGAAAACCCAATTCTGTTATTCTGTCGATCAAACACCACATAAAACCCCTCCATTATCACTGCTCCAATCACTGTGCCTGTGTCATGAGAGATATTTTTGTTATTTATTAGTAACAAAATTTTGTTTTGATTTTTTAGCAAGAGACTAGTGGGTCTTAATGATCATTTTATTTTTTTTTTCAATAAACTGAGTTTATCCAGGAGCCAGGAGCCATGGTTTTAAAAAAATCAGTCTACTTGTATTTCATCAAAAAATTATCAGTGTGATAAAACATTTCCTCTTCATTGACGAATAAAAGGCTGTTTCGGTAAATGTCATTCTCTTAGATAAAGTTGCTGAATTCAATCATGCATGGAAAATAAATCATTCCCTGTATCTTAGTATTTGTATTTTTATGCCACGCTATACCTGATGTGGAGTTTGCAATACCAAGCTTGAAACATATTTCATCTGGGTTGCTATCATCTTTTTTCCCAACAGATTTAATGTATTGCTGAAAATGAACAAAAGAACAAAAATAGATGAGTAAAAGAAAAGAAAAATACCTAGGATACTTTAGCAACTGATTTCTCTTATAGTCTGTACAATGTTTTAAAAAATTCTTTTCACTAAATCATGCTTTTTACAAATTTATACCTGTGGAGCTACAATGATTTTGAAAGACTGTTGCAAATTCTCCGCAAACTCTAAGGCTACAAACGGAAATATGTTGTAAGGAATGGCTCCATCTTTGTAGCACAAGTCTATGTCTCCATTCCAAAAACCAAGACTCAATGGTGGAGCATTGGGAGATTTCTACAATACATAAACAAATACCCTGGTATATGAAATCAAATCACAACTCAATATAATGGGTGCGTTCACAGTTCTACCATTAGTACCAACTTTCAATATACCATTGGTGCAATAATTTGACAATGGTACCAACTGTACCAATAAACCCTGAACGGATATTGGCATATAAATATAACAATTTTACCAATGTTACCAATGGGAGTCCAATGGAAACGTTGGTAATACTGAATTACAGATTTCTTTGTCTTCTAAGTTATTGGCACATGCCAGAATCACAAGAAAATCATAGCAGACTCATAGCCGAGAAACTTTTACCACATCAGGATCACACTTCTTTAGTTGCCATATCTATGAGTTTTATATAATCCATTTAATGGATCATGTCTAAATCATACTTCAAAATCATGAATTTAAGTCTTTGATATGATTTTTATGTGATTTTGTCATGATTTGTTAAAAAGGCTTATCGAGGAAAAATCGTTTATATCATTGTGAATCCCTCTTTCTAGCTCGTTGCCATGTTGATAACTAGCTGTGACGTCATTTACCAACATTAACCACACCTTCATCGTTAGAAAAATATACCATTGGCAAAAAACATTGGTACCAGTGGCATGCCAGAGGTAATTAATTTTACCAACGGCAACTTTTGTCTACCAATGAAAATAACTGTGAATGCACCCAATATGTAGCATGAACTTGTTCAAATAGTTAAAATATGCACTGTACAGTGTGTATTTTTAAGAAATACAAGAGATCCTTTAGATATTGCTTACAATATCATTTTTCATTTACTTCAATGGATTTTACAGTTTTGATAGAGGAATTAATGTTCATTATAATAATGCAAACAGCTCCATCCTACTCCAGGGGGCTATAAATTGATCAAACTTGAATTCCTACTAATGGCTGTGTCAGGAAACTCATTTTGTTCTTATCCTGACCAGTGGTTCTTGGGAAATATTTAAGATACCCACCCTTTTTTATATTCATTTCCCCCCTTTAAATGGGGCACAACCTTTCATTTGATCAAACATAACATAGGCATCAGAAGTAAATTGAAAGGGGGCTAAACCAACAAAAAAGGTAAGCCTCAATTTTCAATGCCCATATTTATTTATATCTATCTTTGCAAAAAATGGGGGGAAGGGGTTAGGCTTCAAGTTCTAACACTTAAATGCTTAAATCTTATTCACAGGACAACATCAGTCAATGGTCAATTTTCGATCAGAATTAAATGCTTACTTGTGCTTTTTGGCTTAATGGGTCAGTCTTAAATGTAATCTGATTTTTTTTCAAGGAGCATAAATTTGGTATTGGTGCTTTTTCTTTTTCAAAATAAACCGTTAATTGCTATTTGTAATGTATGAATAGCGACCAGTTATTTAAATATACAGGTTAAAGATAGCAGTGATCATATAGCTGATTTCTTTTTTTATCAAAGATAATAACATTTTGTTTTATGATAAAGCCACGCCACCCTAATATTCTGTCTGTTTGAGTTTTACCATAAATCATCAAAATGCACTGGATTACAAGCACCTTCATGGTACTTCTGTGCACATTTTTGAAAGCAGAGAGTTTGTTGTTCCATGGACAAACCAATGGTACTTCTGCATCTAATGGACATTCTGATTCTGATGTGTACAAACAACTATTTTATCTGGAAAAAGTGTTGGATTCTATATTGATGGATCAGAAACAACAGGCTCTACAAATTCAGAAATCTGAACAACAGCAAAAGTTATTAGAAGGAGAGATTCAAACTCTGAAGCAATGGAATCAGACAGCCCAAATAAAGATGTCATTCTTAGAAAGGGAAAACAAAATTTTGAAAGAAAGACTGGACAATTTGAATACTTCATACATTGCATCACAGCGAGAGGCTTGCCTGAATGAAAATCTGTAAAAATTTGAATACAACATCAACATTTTTGCTTCAAGAGAATATAATTTTGAAAGATCTGATTAAGATTTTGAACTCTACTTCCATGCTTGTGCAACGAAATTTGACAACATCAGAAGATCTAAGAAAAATGGAAAGGATTTTAACCTTTGAAATAGAACAGACAGCCAGAGTCAGAGAACAGGAGATGATGAAGAATATATCCGCCACAGTCACAGACCTGGAACTAAGAGACCGATATTTATCACTTTCTTTGTTGGATGTACACAATAACATGACCATCTTTGACAACACGCTTTCAAGGCTCAGGCAACAACAGAAGACAAACGAACAGCAACAGAATATGACAATACAAAACTTATCACTTTCTGTGTTGGATGTACACAATTACACAGCAGAGCTATCGTCTTCTCTTTCTAGTTTGGATGCGCAGCAGAAACGGATGAAGAGTGAGATCCAAACACTGACAATTTCCCAGCAAAATGATATTACCAAATTGAATGATACAATTATCCATCTTAAGAATCGTACGTATATTTTTATTTTTTCTTTCAGTTCTGTTAAAAAAGAACAAAAACTTAAGAGTGAATTTTGTTGAGAGACTTTTGAAAATCAGCAATATCACATAGGCCGAATTTTACCCTTTTGCTTTTCCTCATAAAATTCACCTGGCTTGGTACATTTTTCTAAAGGTCATATTACAGTTTTAGCACCAATTTAAGATAACATATTCTGAAAGAATGTTTCCACTTAAGCATAGTGCCGTGGCCCCATTTTTGGACCCCTCTAACTTTATCTAATTAACTCAAATCTTAATAATTTTACACCTAACCAAAAAAGCCCTCTAGTGGATGTTAATTCCGGAATGTTGCGCTTGTCCGAGTTAGGTTTTAATTGTGTCACATTAATATTCGGAGTAGGCGTGGCATTTATCGATCGATTGAAAATATGTATAAATAGCCAGTTATAATGGCTACAAAATATAAAGTAAACACAAAGAACTTCTCAAGCTTAAGCCAGTTTTTTTGTTGCTTGATTTTTTTTTTAGGGGGGGGGGGAGAGGCGCTGGGGGATCTTGTGGGGGATGTACTCCCTCTATAAATCCAGGTTTTTCCCCTCAATTTTAGTCATTTCTAGGTGAAAATTTAACATTTAAGATAAACTGATAAACGAAGCCTACAAGTACGTAAATAAGAACGGAATAAAAATCCCATTAAAGAAAAAAACTTCTTTTGTATTTTCTAAAAGATTATGCCATATCCAATTTATTAAATCTCTCTCTCTCCATACTTTTAAAAGTACAGTAAATATTAGTACATATAATGGTGTACAGAATTTTGTTGTTGTTGTGATGCTGCATGTGGTGTTATTTTATTACCTTACTAAAACAATTTTATCAATTGTATGTGTGATTGTTATTTTGTTTGTTTGTTTGCCAATCTAATTAAAATTAGATGTTAGATCCACCCGCAAACTCGCTACACTAACATCAATGTCCGTGTGAAGAGTATGCGAGTGGATCTAACATCTAATTTTAATTAGATATTGTTTTTTTTTCTAGGGGGGGGGGGAGGGTGTTCCAGAAAGCATCATGTGTTAAACCATCTACTTACTTCTATACCCTATGTGCATATATTTGTACAGTAAAAACACATTGAGGATGGTATTGCGACGATTGGGACTAAATCTCTTTGAAATTCTTTGACCCTCCAAACGTGCCCCCTAAATCCAAGGACTACAATAAATAAAATATCATTATATTTTGTCTAATTTTATATTCTATTACCCTATAAAAATACTAAGGCGAAAAAAAAGAATTTGATGTTGATTAATTGAAAATGTACATGTAACTGTATAAGTTGGTCGCTTTCCGATGCAATGTTATCAATCGGAGCTACAGCCACGTGATTTATTGATTTTTTTTGTATTCACAAAGTTACCTGAATCTACAAATCACGTGATATATTGGAATACTAAACAGGTCACAATGAGGTCAATGAATGTAAATACCTGTAAATAGCGAAGAAAACGGTTGGCGTTTAGTACCTTTTTTAAAAAGTTTACCCTGAGCGCAGGCTTGCCCAAAATTCTCCTTTAAATATGTTGTATTTCAACAGTTCTACACCTTCGGTCCTTTTGAGAAATTTGGACAAGAATGCACTCACCATGTATCCCAGCTTTGAAGATCGGAATAACAAAGGAAATTCATGAATTGCAGTGACCCCTCTTACAAAGTATAGCCTCGTTCCTGATTTTTACTTACTTTTAATTCCAGTAATTTTGCAAAGTTGCGATTAAGACCTAGAAAAATTACTTTATTAATCTCATTAGGCTACTATCTACATATACTTTATTTTTGCGCAATTTACTGGGGGTCACTTTTTGTACACTAAGTGCAATCATTCTTTGTTTTCATCTGTAAACCTGTACTGAGTGTGTTTTGTCTATATTTGTAATTATATTGAAATATTACTAATATTTTCCAAGTCTATTTCATTTTCAAGTTCTTATGAGAAAAAATTCTAAGAATTATCCTCTTTTCTAAACTTGTGACATGATATTGAGTCTCCCTCCAAAGAAAAAAAAATTGTTTATATCATCTGTGCTTAAGAGTCCTGAAAAAATAAAGG